TAGTGACTGGGTCGGAATGATTGCGAGGCTCAGCGTGTTTGGGGGATTGAGGAGTATGCTTAGGAACCTCATTGTTTTTGTCACTGACGGCAGTCCGTCCCTTAAAGAATTGCCTTATGCCTTGTTGTCCGGCATCGTCAGGAGTTTTTGTCTGTGGGTTGTGCGGAGTCCGCTGGGCACCCGAGGCCAACTCACCAGGATTCTGTGAGCGAGGCGGAGTCCGCTCATCGCTTACAGGCGGAGCTTCTCCAGCTCTTTGGCGAGCGCGGTCTTGGAGACTCTTTCGCGGCGAAGTCGCAGCCCCACCACCTTACCCACACTGTTGTCCGCGAGCAGATCCAAGTCCTTTTGGATTTCTTCTCCCTTTTGGTGAAGCGTAAGGGTGAGAAGCATCACCACCACTTCCGCCTGGAGTTCCGGCTTCAGCGGTTTTAGGCTTTGAAATCGGTGCACGATGTCGTCTTTCGCCGTGATCTTGAGTAGGTTGTTCACCGCTCTCTTGGCTTCCTCGTGCGGCAGGTTGTCCCGGCTTGACGGAAGGGCTTTTTTCTGCTCTGCGTTCCATTCCGTGTATGCCCACTGGAGCGGAGACCGCGTGATCCAGTGGGCCGCTTCCGCGGTCTGGAGAGCCTGGGCGTCGGCTTCGATCTTCTCGAGTCTTGTCTTCCACTCGAGAAGAAGAACTCCCCACAGTGTTGCTCGCAACGACGTGGTTACAGTGCCCGCCTCGTACTTCTGGTGCCAGGCTTGGCTGGCCTGGATCATCATACCGATCAGGCCGTGGTTTCCCTTCTCCATGAAGAACACAAAGCTCCGGTCCGACTCGAGGGATGTGAGTTGCTGTTCGTGTCTGGTGGCCGTCTTGATCAGCACACTCTCAAAATGCGTCTGACTGTCTCCTCGTCGAGCTGATCGAGATCCATCCACATCTCTTCGTCGGCCGCCTCGTCGTCTTGCTCTCTTCCCCTCTTGCTCTGAGTCTGCTTGCCTTTGCCCTGCCCCTTCCTGAACTTGTTCGGCTGTCCTGGGCTCATCCGTGATCGGGCTGCGTTCCCTTGGCGCAGCGGGGTTGGCATCCCCGCAAGCGGGGAGCTGAGACCCCAGACCTGTGCCAGCTGTTGCTCCGGCTCCAATGGTACTGGCTGTCCCGTCAAGGCGGAGGCTAAGCTGCAGTAGCGGGAGACACTTCTTCCTATGCTCTTCGGCTGACTTTTGGAAATGAGCATCACACCATGGACATGGTCTCGTGAGGCTGGCAGACAACAAGGTGGTCGAATTCCCTATGGCATCCAAAAGCTGTCCTTGCTCTCGATGACTGGCCTTGGTATGTCGCCTGAATGTCCTGCACCGGTTCACCGCACTGTAGGCAGTGTGTTTTGGCAACAGTTGCCATGTGCTTCAGGCATGAGTAGTCTGATTCTGCATCCGGGTTTGCAAGACACTCTGCGGTGCTGGCTCGCATCGCTGGCTGAGGCATAGGCCATGTGGATGGCAGCTTGATGGTCGGCGTCGCGGAAGCCGCTTGTCGCCGTACCTGAGCCAAGATTAGTTGGAAGAGAACCGGGCACTGGGAACAGTGCCGGTCTGTTCCGTGCACAATCTTGCCACACCATCTACAGGGCTGATCTCTCTTTAGCAGATACTTGAACTTAGTACACGCTGCATGTAGCTCTGCATTGATTAGTGGGGCCAAGTCTTTGTGTATGCGCAGTATATGCGTCTTGATCATGCCCGATTCAGCAATCCATCGCTGGCAGAAGCCGCAGTGTTGCTGCAGGTGATTGCTGTGCAAGTCCGCCTGTGTGATGATGCCATCATGTGTATTCAAATTCTGTATGACTGTTGATTGTTGCAGCAGAGGCCTTGCTTCGTCTTCCCCGGATGCGGAGAGCCGCTCCTCCAAAAATTCTGGCTTGGGTCGCTCACCATCAATGTCCGCGGGCTGCGGATAGGCCTGATTATTAATTTCGGATGGTGTCTGCTGTGTGTCCGTGCTCTGGGCAGCTTCCACCCCCCCAGGTGTTGACGGTGGGTACCAGTTGCACACATTTTGCATTATATGTCCCTTGAGTGATTGCCAGTGATACAGCTTCAAAAGACAGTGCTTGCATTGCGGCATGCCCGCCACTGAGTGCTGCTCGGGCTTGTATTCAATGTCAAGCTTATCGGCTTGGATCTGGCCATGTCTCAGCGCTCGATGTTGTCGAAGAGCCTTCTTCGTGGGATAGTACATGCCGCAGGTGGGGCATGCGTATTGTGTTGACGCTGGTGCCTCCATAAGAACAGTGCTGGCAGGAGTGTTCGCTGCCTGCTTAAGCCGAGTCAGCAGTTGATTCCAGTACTCCAGCACGCCCGGTCCCTTGATGGCAGGGTCCCCCTGGTTTTGCTGAAGTTGTTGGATCTTCTGGTCAAGGCGCTGCTCCAGGACTGCAATAGGGTCTGGAAGATCATATTGCGCCCTGAGGTCACTGTTGCTGACTTTGGTCAGATGCGCGGGCATGTGCACGGTGGCCCGTAGGTGCCTATGAAACCATGCTCTTAATTTGGCAACCATGTGTCCATTAAACTGCACAGTTAAGAGCCCGTACATGGCACTGCTGACGACACAGGTACGCCGCACCCGTACCCTGTGGAACCTAGAGAAACCCTTTCGTGAGCGGATGCTCTTCTTTAGTGAGGAGGTTTTGGCAGCGGCTTCAGCCAGGCGAAACTCGAGGGTGGGGTCCGAGCCTTCTTTAAGGGAGATTTTTGTGCCTAGATAAGTGATGGTCTCACAAAGGGGGATAAGGTGCTGCTGTTCTCCGCTTTGCAGTCGCCAGTGCGGCTGGTTTTTGATCTGTACTGTGCGACTTTTCACGAGCTTTTTGAGCTGGGTGCCCTTTACCTGAATAATCATGTGTGATTTCTCAGGATTGACTTTTAACCCGTACGACTCAAGCGTAGTGAAGAGTGCAAGTATGGCGGCCTCCATCTGATGTACATCTGCAATCGTCTGGAGCTGCCAGTGACCTAGATGATCATCCGCAAAAAGGGTCCACGGGAGTTGCATTGGCGTGGCTTCTGCTGGCGTAAGGTCCCAGAGCACTTGCGATGACAGGATCGACCATAAGGCCGGGGCTAATCGACATCCTTGGCGGATACCTTGTGTGGTTCGAATTTTTGTGGAATGGTATCTGTCGCTGACCTGGTAGGCAGCTTCCTCATGAATCACCGTGATCGTTGAGCGCAGGTTGGCATCAACTTGATGTTCTAGCAAGGCACGATTATAAGTGTTGCATCTGAGCCCGGGGGGTGAAACCCCATGTCTTTTTGGGCCTGTGAACGCTAAAGGGTTC